TTAACCTTTTCACCACCAGTTTCCGCTTTTTATCACAAAATAGTCCCATTTATAATCTGCATTTTCGTTCAGAAGTTTGGAACAAAAATAGCCAAATTTTTTGAGTAAAAACTGAAAATTGACTCGAATTTTGTCTGTTGGCTCCTAAATTAGAGTTCATTTCCAGAAACATTGAAGAATGTAAGAAAAAAGTGCAAAAAAAATTTGAACAAGAAAATCTGGTGGTTGAAACGGTTAAAATGTCCCAAGTTGAGAGGCAACACATCTCCCTAACTATTGACAATCACATTGTTGTTTACATTTTCCATGTACGCGCAGTCACTGGTTGGTGAGAACCAATCGTTCAAAGGCGTTGTTCACTGCTGTCGTTATTTAATATACAGTAAATGTATTTTTCCCTCTTAATAAAACTACTTATTTTAACATGGTCGCAACAGATTGGTCTTGTTTATGAATTGGTGGCTGAATCTGTGTTTGTATCATTTTCTGTTTTTATCATTTGACAATGAAATTGATGATTTTGTAATGCCTATGAGAAATGTATTCACCATCTTGCTGATTGTTCTTTGATCGTATTTTCTTACAGACTGCGGGAAGAAAATGAAAGCAGTGCTTATGATTCAGAGTCTAGTTCTATAATCAAACTCAACAATGCAACGATATTATATCTGAGAGAAGTCAATAGATTTTTAGCATTAGTTTGTATTCTAAGAGAAGATAACTTTGACAGGCACGGTAAGTTGACATTCCAAATATCTGATTTCAAGATATAGGGCCACCCAGTGATAATTTACTATTTACCATGGCTTGCCATCATTTACTCCTAACAGCAGTTGATTAAGGTGTTAAAAAGTGTATTTCTAAAATGTCACTATTTTTGATCTATTATGCTACAGAATTAATGGTTTTTTAAGTATGCATGAATTGAAGTGAATGTTCAAATTTCAGTGATTTTGGCCTTCCATATGATTGTTTGTTGAAGTTCAAGTGTGTTGGTGCATTTGATAATTTTAACTGAGGGTGATAATGTGTTTGAATAGTGTTCAATCCAGTGTGCTAATGTGTTTGAATAGTGTTCAATCCAGTGTGCTAATGTGTTTGAATAGTGTTCAATCCACTGTGCTTGTGTTCGAAATGTGTTCAATCCAGTGTGCTAATGTGTTTGAATAGTGATCAATCCAGTGTGCTTGTGTTTGAATAGTGATCAATCCAGTGTGCTAATGTGTTTGAATAGTGTTCAATCCAGTGTGCTAATGTGTTTGAATAGTGTTCAATTCACTGTGCTTGTGTTTGAATAGTGATCAATCCAGTGTGCTAATGTGTTTGAATAGTGTTCAATCCACTGTGCTTGTGTTTGAATAGTGATCAATCCAGTGTGCTAATGTGTTTGAATAGTGTTCAATCCAGTGTGCTAATGTGTTTGAATAGTGTTCAATCCAGTGTGCTAATGTGTTTGAATAGTGTTCAATCCAGTGTGCTAATGTGTTTGAATAGTGTTCAATCCAGTGTGCTAATGTGTTTGAATAGTGTTCAATCCACTGTGCTTGTGTTTGAATAGTGATCAATCCAGTGTGCTAATGTGTTTGAATAGTGTTCAATCCACTGTGCTTGTGTTTGAATAGTGTTCAATCCAGTGTGCCAATGTGTTTGAATAGTGTTCAATCCAGTGTGCTAATGTGTTTGAATAGTGTTCAACTCATAAATATTCACATCGTCACTTTCAAATTAGTACGAGCTGCTATAATGTTCATGAATACGAGTAATTCCTCATATTTCTGCAATTGACACAAATAAAAACTTCAAGGGGAATACCTCTGTACTTTGTTACCTCTGTACATGTGTTGAAATAAAGTATACTCTTCTACTTTTCAGGTTTGATAGACTACAACTTTCACTGTTTTCGTAAAGCCATTCAAGAAGTATTTGAAGTACGACTTAAATCTCAACAAGGAATGTTAGTCGGCACTACGATTGGATCCAGTGACGCCGGCAGTCCTCAAAGCAATGGTATGGTTACACCATCACCAACCAAACCTGTCTATGCTTGATCTATTTATGTGTGTAGTTAGGTTAGTACAGTTTGCCCTCTGAAAACACTTCCCCATTTTTTTTTTTATTTAATGTTAAATATTCAGGTTTCCTTTATGTTTCCTGTCTGTCTTGCTTTTGTTTGTTGTTGTCTGTGTGCAGAACACTATAGAAGGGTCAGCGCTAAAATGAAATAAAACACGAAATTTTTAAAACTTTTTTTTAAATGTACTGGTAAAATTAACAAGACTTTCGAAAAAGGGAAATTGTATTTCAGGACTTGAAATTAAAAAAAAAAGTGTGCTGATTTTAGTAGGTACTTTGAGCCATGTAGAAAAGTATGAACAGAAATAAATACACCTCATTTTGGTCAATTTGTGTTGGAATTTCATAGTTTTGAAGACCAATTGGCAAGCCAAATTCTAATTTACATTACTATAATCATATACAAGAGTAATATGCATAACGGAAATTTGAACTAATTGCATCAGTATTTCCCATGTTATAGATGAAACATTTTTTCAATTTCTGACAACAGACTCTGTCATACTTTACCCATGATCCTTTGCTTGAGAATCAAGATGGCTGACTACATAATACTGATGAAATGTTAAATATCTAGAGAATGAAAAGTGATTTAAAAAAACTGTAAATTGCATTCTCCTACATTTGTGGAGCTTTTTCTTGGGGGGGGGGGGGGGTCATTGTATTGTTTGGCTTGACTTCCCCTTTAAATCTACATTCCATGTTTGTTTGTCATTGTGTCTGTTTATCCCTACATTCCATAGCATAGCTAGCTGTGATAATTGTAATTATTTGATATCCCTTAACAATAATGTACCTGATTCTATTGCATGTACTGTAAAAGAGTTAATTATTCACTGGGTGCTTATTTCCTGACTGGAAAATGCGCTAAATTAAAACCCAGTGCATATGTAAAATTTAGCATAGAACACATTATCTAAATGATAAAACCGTGAAGTTAAAATCCAGTGATAATGTCTCAAATGCTAAATCATCGAAATTTAAACCCAGTGAAAATTAGTCATTTTACAGTACCTTTCATTGCACATCTCTGATTTGTCACATGACCAGGGCTCCTGCATCATCTGCTTCATTGTGGTCCCAAACCTACTACCTCATGAACCATCACTAATTTATAATTATATCTGAGAGAAGTCAATAGATTTTTAGCATTAGTTTGTGCAATGCTTTCAGTATTAGTTTAACCTCAAATCAAAAATGTTGTCAATATGAAAACAAAGGCTGTTGTTTGTAATATTCAAAATCAATTCAGTTTTGTAAAATAAAATTATTTGCGATGAATAAAGGAAAAAAAACTTATTAAAAGTTATTGATATTGTTTTGTTTTATTTCAAGCAGGTACTAAAAAAGCTGTACCAGTGTGAAGAAATGGCCCTGGGTTATGAACTGAACAATAACTGTAATATATGCAAGTCATACTGCGCTGTCAATATTTCTGTACTACAGAGTTGTATGGACATGGACAAGCTTTTCATCTTTCCTTTCAAGTGAAAAACTGCTGGGTATTTAAGGAGGGGTGTGACTGGCAACGTGGCGCCCTCTACATAGTATGTGTATTGTGAAATGCAACATTTATATTGGCAAATTGTATCGCTATAATTGATCTATTTCTGTGGGAGAAAAAGATACTGTCCATACTTGACAGCATGGCAAATTAATACTTTTGATATTAAAGTTGGTGAGAAAATCCGTTGTAAATAAACGTAATTCAATGTCCTAAAATGGCATGATGTTTGACCTTTAGGTGTCTGAGGTTTCATGCATGACCTTTAAGTGACATGTCGGTACCAGGATGCATGACCTTTAGATGACATGTCGGTACCAGGATGTTTGACCTTTAGGTGACGTGTCGGTACCAGGATGCATGACCTTTAGGTGACGTGTCGGTACCAGGATGCATGACCTTTAGGTGACGTGACGATACCAGGATGCATGACCTTTAGGTGACGTGTCTGTACCAGGATGCATGACCTTTAGGTGACGTGTCTGTACCAGGATGCATGACCTTTAGGTGACGTGTCGGTACCAGGATGCATGACCTTTAGGTGACGTGTCGGTACCAGGATGCATGACCTTTAGGTGACGTGTCGGTACCAGGATGCATGACCTTTAGATGACGTGTCGGTACCAGGATGCATGACCTTTAGGTGACGTGTCTGTACCAGGATGTATGACCTTTAGGTGACGTGTCGGTACCAGGATGTGCGACCTTTGTGTGAAGTGTCGGTACCAGGATGTGCGACCTTTGTGTGAAGTGTCGGTACCAGGATGTGTGACCTTTGTGTGACGTGTCGGTATCTCAGGATGTGCGACCTTTGTGTGACATGTCGGTATCTCAGGATGTGCGACCTCTGTGTGACGTGTCTTTACCAGGATGTATGACCTCTGTGTGACGTGTCTTTACCAGGATGTATGACCTCTGTGTGACGTGTCTTTACCAGGATGTGTGACATGTCTTTACCAGGATGTATGACCTCTGTGTGACGTGTCTTTACCAGGATGTGTGACATGTCTTTACCAGGATGTATGACCTCTA